CACAAAGCCGAACTATGACCCTATAAAGGAGCGCGGGGGCCGGGGGGGGGGGGGGCCACTAGAAAGCAATATGGAAACGAATGAAGAAAGTGCGCAATTACGAACAAGGTGCTCTAAGAAGCTGAGAAGCCAAAAAGCCAAAAAGCCAAGGGGCCAAATAACAGGCACCTACAAGAAGCCACGAAAGCAAAAAGCCAAAAGGCCAAAAGCCGTTGATTCTGGGAGTGTGTCTGGTGATGCTGAGGATGCGGAAAGCCAAAGCCACAAAAGCGAACAAAAGCCACGAAAACTCACAGTCACAAGACGCCACAAAAGCCAAAAAGCCAGCCCGGAGAAAAACAAAACATCGCGAGAAGAAGAAACAAAAAAAAACAGAAGAAGAAAAAAACATGGCCGTCCGAACAAGAAGAACATCCAGTGACCTGCGCTGGTTCTGCAGAGCATCGAATGGCCCGAACTTCACCCGCGCCTGTTCGACATAAAGGGCAAATATCCTGGCAAGTTGGACATGAAAACATGAATGACCCACTTGTCTGCGGTCGGTGTCCTTTGAATCGCTGCAGGGTGAACACAAGTTGTAGAGAGTTCCCATTCCTTTTGTCAAATCACTCAGCAAAAAGCCAGAGCTTTTTTCCCGTGGCCCAAGGGCCTCCTGACTGCAAGCTCTCACTTGACTGTCCCGATGTCGCTCGAAAACAGCGAGCTCCGAAATGGGTGCCTGACCAAAGAAATCAACCCTTGTTGTCCGAACAAATGGGACCGGCATACCAATTCGTCGGTTCAAGTCGCTCCTGGGGCATAAAGGTCATCATCATCAAAGTGCGCCACGAACTCACCGCTGGCCGCATGGACGCCAATGTTCCTGGCCGCAGACCCTCGCTTGAAGAGGTAGGCTCTCAAGCAACATGTCCAAAATGGCCAAAATGTCGCAGGCAGATCTAGATTGAAATGAGCAGCACATTGACATTTGCTGCTACCCACATAGTTGTCAAGGTTTACACAGCCCTGGCTACACCGCCGTCAAACATGCAGATCTTGAGCGCTTCTCAAATGGGTTTGTCTCAGGGCAGTTTCACCTGGAGGGCACCACCTCTGACGCAGCGAATGCTCCGCCTCTTCACGCCAATAGACAAGTCGTCGCCTGGCAGCCGCTGTAAGCCTCGGCTCGTGCCATGGTCTGAAGCCAGGCCCTGAGGCGTGCGTGACGGTTGGTATGCTGGCGGTGCCAAGGGTTTGGTATGTGTTTTGGTATGGTTATGGTTTGGGACGTTTGTGACGTTTTGGTATGTGTTTTTGCTTGTGAACATGTGTTAGTTTTTTTTCATGCGCCGTTCAAAGGAACTTCCTAGCAAGTAAAACGTGCAAAGCGCGTGATCTTTACCTTCGTGGTTCAAACACATGGCACAGAAAGTCTAGCTTCGTCGTTCAAGGGATTTTTTTAAAGGTAAACGCATAGCACGAACCGTGGATAGCATATACCCTCATGATGATGCCCAAAAGCCTTCAAATAACCCGCCAAGCTCGCCTGCTGAACAGGGCATTTTCTTCGGGAAGACCTGTTTGGGCCTCACCCCCAGAGTCTGCATGCCATGTGGGTAACATCCTTGGCTGGCAGGAGGTGGAGGTTTCAAGACTGTGGATCAAAGAGTAAACACGTGGCACAACATGTTCGTCGTTCAAGGGAACCCCCTGACAAACAAGACTTTCTATGCCATGTGTTTAACTTGTCAGAGGGTTCCCTTGAGCGACGAACGTAATGATTATGCACCACATGTTTAACAGTTTGGCACAAACATTCATCCAACCCCTCCTCCCCCCCCGGGGCAACTGGAAAGGGCGGGGGTCAAAAGATAGCCGCCTCCTGGCTAAATTGTGGAAGACCATCCAGGTCAAAATTCATATCCATGTGGGTCCATAAGGGTATGAATTCTAATTAATTGTGTCCACGGACCACTTTTGCTCCATATGGGTCCAGACAATCGAATTGCCGAAAGAACGGGACAGGCCGAGCGGCTGATGATCCTCATGTTGCTGGCCCATGCAGCTTTGCCTGAGAGAAAGGAGCTCGGCTCGTCCTCGTAGGTCTCGACTACGACCAGCTCCTGTCGTGCAAATCCCGGCAAACCCTGCGCGACCAGGTTCTCCCATGCCCCTTTCGTCTTTCGTCAGCCTCTTTCGAAACGAAGCTGCAGCACCTACATGTCCCTGCTTGCCCTTCTTCATTCCTCTTTCGGGCATAACCCTTCAACTGGACTGCACGTCTTAGCGAATATCTTATGTCCGTGCATCAGCTCCCAGTGTGAGAAACGCCGGAAGCGCCCCATCGGCCCCAATCCTGGCCTTGTCCTCCCACGCTTGGCACTGGAAGTTCCAAAACAGCAACTCGTGAAACCGGTGCCTGTCCTTAGCGCGAAGTTGCTAACCGGCAAGCTTCTGCCTTCAAGCCACCGTGCTTCTCGAGTCGGCCAAAATCCCGTTGCGCTTTCGTGGGCCTCGAATCCTACCAGCCAGCAATGCGCCAAAGCTTGGATGTTCTGGAGGCCGAAATCTAGTAGCAATGTGCTCATCTACTCCCTTCACTGCCAAAAAGACATGAACAGCTAGGGGCAGGCGTTTCGGCACGCAGTATTAAACAGGAACAGAACCTGGGAATCCAAGCCTCCTTGACAACCCTCAGGAATAAACCAATGAGCTTCATTGCTTCAGAGCTGGGTCCATTTGTTGGCTGAGACCTTTCATGTTGCTGCAAATCGATAAGAGTTCTCCGTTCTGAACATAGATGGATCTCCAGTCTCTGCCATTCCCAACATTAGGTGATCTGTAGATCCTCCCTCTGTCCAGACCACCATGGGTTCCCAGGCCGGCTCCCTATAGGACCTCAGGTTCCCTGCAAGTGGGTATCGTCCCCTGCATTCAGCTTCACCTTTAGCAAGTCATCCTACCTCACCCGATGCAGCCGAAGGCTCCCCAGTGGTCACCGTGACCACAGAGATCCTCCCAGGCTGGCCCTAGGCCAGTGGGAGGCGCGGGATGTGTGGTGACCAAAGATGGATAAACGATTCGCAGGGAGGCTGTCCTTCACTTTTAGGAGCAACTCCCATGCTCGCATATCAATCCAAAGGGCCAAAAAGGCGTCAGGGGTGGACGTCACTAGTTTCTTGCCAGACCACCAGAAAACGCAGCTGCAGCAAAGGAGCCTTTGCTCCAACAAACTGCCAGTTGCCCGCAGGTGCTTCTCGAGGGTTGAAGTCACCTAGGCTCTCTCCCTCTCCCTCCCCCCCCCCTCTACATGGAATCTCTGGGTGTTCCATCAGCTCCTTCCACATATTTGCGCGAGAGGTGCAACACCTCGCACAAAGGAAAACCAGGAACCGCATAAGAAAGGATCAGCTCTTTCAGGCAAGAGTCCGTCGGAATAAAACCAGAGGTCGCATTCACGTTCATCCCAGCCCAGCGCCTCCTGTGCACCAAACACAGAGCAAGGCTTGGACGATGGCCGTCCCGAAAGGGGGCCAGAAAGAAAGGTGCAGGTTCACTAGAAACTCAAGCGCAGATTCTGGGGACGGTGCCCCTACCCAAACCTTTTCTTGTTTGGGTGTCCGTGGAGGTTCCTAATGGAGGAGATATGAATGGCGGAAAGGGGTGGACATCGCTTTGGCAAGCCGTCAGCCATGGGTCACGAGTCTCTCCTCTGGCAGCTGGACGCATCGCTTCCTGCCGGTGCTTTCGCAGAAGCGATCGGCGCGCTCCCGCAGGGACATCCTGAGCGTTGCAGAAGGGTGTTTGTCACAGCTACTTTCCAGTGAGGCAGAACAGCTGCCAAACCAGGAGTCTGCAAGGGCAAGTCATGTTGACGTAGTGGTTGCTCTGTGATTGGTAAATGCAGGGGTCCCAAGGAGAGTCTTTTTGACATAGTCACTGGGCAGCAAAGTGTCCGAGCACCTCCAAGCGAACAAGCACCAGTCAGAGGCAAGGGATGTCGCGCAAAAGCGCCAAAAAAACACCGGCCCGGCCGCCTCTCCCGGGTGTCATGGCTTTCCACAAGGCGACCCCTCGGTCTCAAACAGACCCTTGCCAATGCCAAGCGGCCGTTTGGCCCAAGGGCCGAAGCGCCCGGCCCGGCCCTCCCGGCTCTGAGCCGGAAGCTCGCGGAAATACGCGGCCAGTGACCCTGGTAGGGAACCCTTGCAGCTTCACCATGTTTGGTGGGAAACCAGACGAAACGGGAAAAGGGTGCCACCGCGCGAGTGGCTGGGAGTACACCTTAACTTATCTGTGGGAAGTGCCAAGGACCGATACCATCCAAAACAGGGCCGTAGTCCATGCTCGAGCCGAGCTCCTTGGTGCCTTGGTCTCAGGCAGAGGCATGCGGCACCCAGCCGCATCCATGTTCCGCAGATGAGGTGTTGAGAGTATCAATGCATCCCCGGATTGAAGAAGAAAGATTGAAGGTTCCGGGCATGTCCTTAACATCTGCAATCCTACCTCCTGGTCGAGGGGATGTAGTGCAAAGTATTGAAACAAAGATGTGGGATCGAAGACTCCGCGGATTCATCAATCTTATATCTTCAATCCCAGAATGTATTGGCACGTCTCGTTACATCCCGGTTGACTAGGATGTGGGAAGAACGTTGTTTTTGCTAAAATGCGGGTAAAGCGCATATGTCCGAATTGCTGCTGGCAAACTGCTTTTGCTATTACCCCAATCCCTGCAGCTGGAGTTCGATGTGGGTCAACGTCCGTGCCAAGTTAGCTTGAACGTGGCGATGTGCTAGCACGTGTCATGCACATCTGGGTGACCCATTGTCCTTCATCCTTTCTGGCCCCTATTGCTTTCTCTTTAAAACCAATAAAACCCTAACATAGTGAACTGTTCCTTTTTGGTGATCCACAAGCCAAAACTAAAAGGGTGTCCCTTGGAGAAAGACACACACCCGCGTCCTCGATCGTCTCGAGCTTTGGATGCCAAACCCTTTGACCCAAAAGCGTGGCGGGGCCACGCCGGCGGCAGCAAAGGCCTTGGCAATTTCCAAGACCTCAGCGTGGGGGTGGCGGGGTTGGCGGCGCCCCACGTCTGCCAGGCTGGGCCCAAAAGCCGATGGGTTCGATGGATTGATGGTAACGTAGAGGTGTTGCTTAAAGGTCTGTAGCGTTTTTCATGGGCATTCGTCAGTATAGGCTGATTGGTGTCAGACTCCTTGTATATCCACAAATTCACACCAGGAAGCAGTGTTTTGGCTGATGCCCGTACTAAGAAGCTTGTCTGAGTCTCTCATAGTTCACGCCGGCATTCGTGGGAACAGCCTCTGCCAGAACCAGAAGGGAAATCTGCCAGAACCTTCAGGGAGGCCAGGTCTGCCAGAATCCCAGATTGGACAGCCTCCTTTGCCAGGAAAGAAACAACTTGTCCAAACGAGTTGATGCATTCCTTCCAAAAATCCGATGTGTCATGAGTGGTGTTAATGATCCCTTGAAGGTCTGGCTTAATGGCTAGTTGCTTGGGCCGGTTCTTGACAACTCCGTGTCTCACCCACCTCATCTCATTGCGCGTGCACTCGCCCTCGCCGAGGCACAGCGGTGGCTCCACTGCCGTTGTCCACCGCGCCAGGCGCCAGGCCCTCGCGGCCAAGGGCCAAGGACCGACGGTTTGGCACGGGGGCGCGACGCGTGGCTCACGGCGTGGCTCACGGGCCGTTGGCTCAGCTTGGTCCCAGCTGAAACCTTATCGCTGCACCTGGTTGGTTTGGCTTGGCTTGAGTTGAGTAGCTCCATGTTCATCTTAGTTGAATTTCTCTCCCGTTCATTTGACTCCTGCAGATGCATGGTAGTGGAAATGAGACGTCGGCCCATGTTCTGCGATACCAAGGGAATCCCCGTCAAAGTGACAATGTGGTTAGTTTAGGGATGGCCCCTGCTTAGGATCACAGAAAGCCTTGTTTTCCACAAGCATGCCTAGATGCGTTCATCTAATGTGACTCGTTAGTCCCTTGCCAATACCGAAAGCAAGGGAGCAGGCAATCAAGCAAGCAAGGCACTCAAAGAATTGACTGAAAGAGCCTCACAGCAGTACTGTGGATGGACAAAATCCGAGAAAGCACCACTTTGAAACCGTGGTTGAAACCATTGTTTGTTGGTATTTACAGAGGAACTATGATTCCATGGTTTCTGAACGATGATGCGAACAGACTTTGTCCATGCACAGAACTGCCTCAAAGTCAGCACTTTTCAACAAAAGAAAGTGAGGTCGCTGCAGGTTGAATACATTTGCGCCTCAAAGGGTCTGGAGTCGTAGTGCGCTCCGACGGTGACGCTGCCACTGTCGGCGTCACTGCCCTAAGCACGGTTCATCAATGACAAACGACCCATGAACTCGCATCCAGTGCAAATCTGAGGAAACGATTGTTGGCTTCGCTTTAATGGAAAGCAAAAGGGAACCTCCCATTTTGGGGGAACCCTTATTTGGTGGTTTTCATGCTTGTCAAACTAAACATTTGACTATGCTCACTGCTTTCACTGAGCTCAACATCACCTTGTCAGTCGCCCTCACCACTCTAATTACATTCTACCACTCTACCACTCTACCACTCTGCACCTCTACGACTCTACCTCTACCATCGCGGCCGCCGCCGCCGCCAAGATCAAGACCAAGACCAAGAACAAACAAGAAGCAAGAAACAACAAAAGCCAACAATGAGCAACCAGCAACAAGCAACTAGCAATATGCAACAACCTATAAACAACAAACAAGAAGCAAAGACCAACGACCAACAAACAACAAATGGCAAACTACAACAAACAGCCGCCACTACAACCACCACCAACACCACCACGACCCCAACCGCGACCATGACATCGACGAAAATGACAACGGAGACATGATGATGACCATTGTGTCAATGACGAGCATGTTGATCACAGTAGCTAAGTCGGACATAACTAGTATGATCATCGTGCTTGTTGCCGTCGTCGTCACCACCAGCAAATTGCGGTTGCATGTGTTGACAGCTGGCCAAGGTCCGGGCATCAGGTTCTGCTAAAACGTCAGAAACTTCTGTCCTTTGACTGCTGCGTGCTGGGAACCTGCTCTCAAACGAGCCGGCGAAAATCACCAAGAATGGTGTCTGCCAGTCCGAACTCCCAGGAATCGCTGACAATTCCTGACTATTCTTGCCAAAAGCTACCCATCAAACGGGCCTCTTCAGGAACACAGCACACTCGCTTGATTTGGGAAGACCATCAAGAACCCTACACCTCCTCCCACCAAACCTCCCACCATCCCCGGACTTGGGGCTTCTGTGGCCCCCTGCCTCCAAATGACTGAGGCCCGGGCCGGCAGAAAGGCCACCACATCCGCCTGGTCCCCGAAGGTCTGGCGGCAGGTGCGGTAGCCCATCTCCTGGCAGCCGAAAAAAACCGGGTGGAGGTCAGCGCAAAACCCCGGACCTTTCGTCCTGCGGGTCGCCCCCTCCCCAAATTGCGCGCGAAGTGGGCGGGGAGCTCTGGTGTCTTTGGTATAGCAGGTGGTTTGGGTGTTGCGAGTTTCAGATGCTGGTTTGACACAAAACCTGGCAACGGCATCTACCCCAAACCTCGACTCTGGCGGGTGTCGATTGTGGCCCAAGAAACAAAACCGTCTTCTGGAATGCAAGGAAGGCATGCAGTACAGCAAACCCAGGAAGAGCACAGACGGTGGAGAAAAGTGCTACAAACAGGAGAAAGCAGAAAAGTCAAACACCTTCTGCTCTTGATATTCGCAGCCGCCCCATAGACCAGCAACAATCCTGCGTAAATCTTTTGCAGTAGGATCACTGAGCGAAAATAAAAGGTTTGGCAGTAGGATCATCGATCAAAAACAAACGACAAGGCCGACTCACAGCACACACTGTGGACATCTGACTGCAGGATCTCCTGAAACTCCTTCTCCAAAAAGCTCACTGCATTGGCAGTTGCCTTTGGGTTGGAGTAACTCCTGGGGCGCGGCATGGATAATTTTGTGAGTGTCAGGGTGAGAAAATCTGAGCCCGGAGGCGGTGGCCCAGAAATGTCGCCCTCAAATCGTGGGGCTTCGTAAAGCTTGCGGGATGCTGACATGCTGCTCACAGCCTACGTGCAGGTGCCTAAGCTCATGCAAGTTTGATGTTGGTGTTCTCTTGGCAAAGGTGTTCGCTCAGGTGCCCAGAAAAACAGGTGGCAATGAAGTTTAAAAAAGAAGAAAAAAAGGGAACCGCCTCATTTTTGGATTGTGGTGGACATGGGCCCGTAGTAAAAAATGACATCCACGTCCACTCAGAACCACTCGACAACTCCACTGGAGGCGATGTTCTCGCGCCTAGTGTGTGTGCTGCCATCTCCCAGCTCCGTAAGCTCCTGTCGTGCCAAAGGAATAGACGCCGCAAAGGGAGTGACGTCAGATTGCGTGGAACGGAAATAAGCACGAAAGGGGCTTGACACAATATGGAGTGGAATGGAATGGAAGAGAATGGAACGGAGTGGGGTGGAGCGCAGTGGGGTGGGTGGGTAATGGGGTTGAATATAATAGAATGGAGCACCAATTCCGACGCATCCGAGACGGCGTCCAAAGAAAAAAGGGCTGGCTGACATTCAATCGACATGTGGGCAGTTCCTAGTATGGAGTAAAGAAGCCGCCTGTCCACCGACGGTGTTCGGCGTGTCGCCTACATAGGGTTTAGGGGAGGGGGGGGTTTGTCATTGTGCACCAAGCAGCAAGATGACGGCAGGGACTTTTGGCGGTTTTTGGCGGCGCTGGCGCAGGCTCGGCGCGCTTCCTTTCTTGAGCAAGACCAAGCAACCAAGTTGACATCCCAAGCGACCCAGCCCGCCACTGCCCTGTCGTCATGCACGTGAGCTGCGCGACAAACGGCCATGGCTGTCCTTCAAGCGATTTCCCAGCTCGCGCCACGTGGCTGGGAGGGTCGCCTTTCTTTGATTTAGTCTGCCTGCACGCTGGCCCACGTGTCCGGCTTCTCGTGGAGAGCTGCATTCAAGGAACGGTCTTCCAAAGGACTGCCACACCATCCAGAAGGCCTTAACAAATCCGAATAGCCGGGTTGCCCAAGTGCTCCGCGGCGCCATCCGGAGACGCAGCGCAAGACCGCGGCCCAAGGCGCCTGGCCAATACGCACGAGCCATCCATCGAAAAAGAGAGGGATCAAACCCGACCCCAGAAGGCTTGAGGCAGAAATGGCAGCGCGGGTCGGACCCTGGGCATCGGCTATTGATTTAAATCAATAGGTTTCTTGTTCTATTGATATGCCCTTTTTTTCAATAAGAAACATGTGGTTCTAGGCGACCAAAATCAAAAGCAAGATTGCGAAACAAATCAATTAAACATGTCCTCATTTTTAGATGGTAAATCAAAAGCAAATATCAATAAGGTTTGCAATGCGGCACACCCCCTTTTTTCCACAATGGCAGTGTAGGAGCTTGTCCCCCTTTCAGCAAGGGCATGCCTACAGAAGCAGGAGAAGGTGCTTTTCACCTTCTAGCAAAGGGGATGAGCTTGTCACCCTTTCAGCAAGGGCATTCCTGTAGCAGCAGGAAAGGGATGGGGGCCTGCCACCCTTTTAGCAAGGGCATTTCCTGCAGCAGCAGGACAAGGAGAGCAGCCTGCCACCCTTTTAGCAAGGGCACCCTCTATAGCAGAAGCTTGTGCAGTCAATAGTCAGCTGGCTTGTCCCTCTTGGCCAAAACCTGGCCTGCTGAGTTGCAGGTGAAGAAGAAATTTATATTTCACTGCAAGCTTGGAGCTGAGCTTGGAGGATTTTACCCCAAAGGCAGTGGAATGTGTCAACACACTCATTCTGCCCACAAAGTGCTCTGCTCTGTAATTGGAATGGATTCTATAATTCAAATATTTTGAATTCAGGATGAGATGATGAAAGGAATGGGATTTGTGAGTGATGTGAAAGAGCTTTCTGCCTTTTAGCAAGGCCCACTGGTTCAGATCATGGTAGTTGCTGAAGAACCTTTTGGCAAGGTTGGCGGCTTGCAAGAACTCCTCAGAAGTAGGAAAAAGCCCAATTGCATCATACAGATCAGCAATCTGAATCAATTCTTCTAGGCAGGCCAGCATGGCTTGATGAATGGGGTCATCTTCTGGCAGAGCTTCTCGCAACACCTGCAACAGACAGGGCAGCAGGTGCTTAGTCTCAGCAGCCTTTGCCTCAAGGCACGCAAAGCTTTTGTGAGGCTTGGCAGCATCAGGGCAAGTCATGGAGAGGCGAAGGTTGGTCAACCTGGAGGAGACCTGATTTTGGACATAGAGCTCCTTAATTCTGCCAAACAGCTTTTGGAGCCTTTGGCTGGGTGGCACTGCCTGCCTTGCTTTCACACCATCAAAGTAGCACAAGTAATGGATCAAAGAGCCTGCAAGGTGTGAAGCAACTCCTCTGGAGTACAGGATGTGGAGGGAGTCTCCTCGCACCATGGCTGCGCTGATGCCTGGCACCTGAAAAAGTGGATGGGCACTCCTTTTAACAAGGAGGGCTTGCTCAGGGGAGACATATACAAACTTTTGATCAGCTTGCCTGAGAAGCTTGACACTCTTCCCATCAGGACACTTAATGCCCTTGAATGCAGGCTTTTGGGCATCGCATTCTGCACAGGGGAATTTGTTTTGCCAGTGTGGCATCTTCAAGATGTTTGAGAAGAATTCTTGGTCACCCTGTATGCTGTAGATGCAAGCTCTGTGGTTGCCTGGTGTCAAGGGCAGGCCAGCCAGCTCTGCCAGTGAAGGTGGCAGGCCATTCCCATATGGATCTTGGGAAGGGTGCTTGCCTTTTATCAAGGCTGCAAAGCTCCAGGCAATCCAGTCATGAAGAGGCCCCCAAGTTGTGGGCACAGAGCAGTTCTTTGGAAAGGCAACCAGGAGCAGGTGGGCTGCTAAGCTCTCCTTTTGGCTGAGCAAAGGGCCCCATGACCATGTCATCAGGCTGTCTCGGTTTTGGTATTCCACACCATCACCATGAACAAAGATAGGGCATGTGTGGGAAGGATCCTTGACCCTTTTACCAAGGGTGATTGGTGGGGCAAGCCTGGGGTCCTTGGACCTCTCAGCACATTGCCAAAAAGATTCTGCTTCATTGAAGCAGAACAGGTCCAAGAAAACCTCTGTGTAGTGCTCAGCAAGGTTGCTGAAAAGAATGTGGGGAAGAAACAGGGAGGCTTCTTCCTTGGTGTGCTTCCTGGTGTTGGGGTCAAGGACATCAACAGTGACTGGCATTGGGTCACATACTTTGATGTCTTTGCAAAAGTGGCTGACCAAGTCCCTGTGGGCACTGCCAGGGTTTTGGCCAAAGTTACCACATTTGGCCAAGGCCATGGTGTCAGCAGAAGAGCTTCCTTCCAAAATGGCCAAGTGTGCTATCTCTGCAGCCTGGACTGCTGATATTTTTCCCAGGGACCAAAGTTCAAGCAGCCTTGTGCACAAAGGGCTGGACTTGTTTGGCTCAAGCTTTTCATCCTTTTCACAAGGATGTTCCCTTGACTGGTCTAACTTCCAGCCTTTCAGCCTTTTGGGAGGCCTCTCCATGGCAAATTCCCCTTTCATCAAGGGGGCTGCCTTTTATCAAGGCCATCAAATATTATAAGTTACCCTGGAGCCAAAGGGCCTGCATTTCAAGCATGATGCATGCTAGCCCTTGGCACTCAAAGCAACCCCTAAAAAAGCATGCTGACCTTTTACACCCCAAAGCCTTTGGGGGTTGGTTCAACAAGCAAGCCCCAGAACAGACTATACTATTTCTTTGTGTTTGGAACCTTCCCCCCCCCCCACCCCATCCCTTCAGAGCACTTGGTGGAAAACTCTTTTTGCCTGTCGGTGCCAGCTGCTGCCAAACCCTTTTAGCAAGGGGGGTGGGATAGACAATTGCCATCCCTATCTAAACAGGTTCCCTTTCACCAAGGGCATTTGGGCTAGCATTGTAGCAAAGGTACCAGAAGCCACCCTTTTAGCAAGAACATCCCAGGCTACCCTTTTAGCAAGGGTGTTTCCTAAGTTCACTTCTTGGAGCCCTTGCTGGCTTTGCTTGCTGTCATGGTATCCACAAGCACTTGTTTTGCTTTTTGCAAGGGCATTGACTGATCTTGCTTGGCCAAGATGTCTTTGACAACCTTTACCTTTTTGGCCAGAATTTCCAACTTGCTTGTAGTGTCTCTCTTGGCTGCTTTGGTTAACCTTTTAGCAAGGTCAGCTTTAGTGAGGGCAGCCTCACAATCATCTTTGGCCTGCCCAGCTTGGTCTCTTGCCCTCTTTGCTTTTGCCAAGAGCTCCTTCCACTGTTCTTCTTCAGTTGTCTCTTCTGGATATTCTTCTGTGCCATCCTCCAAGGCCAACAAACGTCTTGGCTTTCCTTTTGTCTTTCCTTTTGTCTTTCCTTTGCCTTTCCCTTTTCCTTTTATCAAGGAAGATCCCTTGCCAATAGCCCTCAAATGGCTATAATTGTCCTTTTGCAGGAAACTTTGCCATTCTTGCTGGTCTTCTGCAGTCGGTTCATACTCCTGGCCTAATGACCAGTGCTGAGCCTTTTTCACATGGGTTTGTTTTTCAAAGTCGCCTGTGTCTTGGTAATTCCACACATTTGGTGTGAGTGGGTCTGCTCTGTAAATAATCCTTCCTGACTCCATGTGGGCCCAGAAATCATCTTCCCCATGAAGCTCCAGCATCTTTTTCTCTGATACCCATTTTTCCCTTTTAGCAAGGGAGGTGGCGTGTTCCATGGACTCATTGTAGTGGAAGAACTTGGGGACCTCAGTCTTCACAAGGGCCAGTGCTGCTTCGAAGCCCTTCTCATGCTTGCTCTTGTTCTGGAAATCGTCTTGTTCTTTTTTGGGCTTGCCTTTCAAGGCTGTTTGGTACTTGGACCAAACCCTGGTGTGTTCTTGTTTGCCAAGCATTTTTCTCAACTCAGTAGCTGCCTCTTCAGGGGTGTCAGCCTCTTCCCCTGCTTTCTTAATCTTCTCTGCCAAGGTCATCTTGCCAAGTTTGGCCAAGTGTTTTTTTTTCAGCTGCAATTTCATAGTATTCATAGCCTTCATGGCCTTCATGGCCTTTGTTGCACTTCCTTGGCCAGTCCCTTTTATCAAGGGGGGTTGCTTGATGGTCCCTTTTTTCAAGGGAGAGCCCTTTGATGTTTTGGACTTTGCCTTTGGTGCCATTGCTTTTCCCAAAAATGCTGCAAGCTTGACAGGTAGGAAAGCTGCGGTGCACAAACCATGTTCCACGTGGGTGGGGTTTCCAAGCCTGGCCAACTTTGATCAATTTTGATCAATTTTGGTCAATTTTGGTCACATTTGATCAAAACCATGGTTTTGACCAAAACTGACCAAAATTGATCAAATTTGACCAA